AATGAGAGTTGCCTGGGGTCAGCTCTGCCTCTCTTCTGATGACAGGTCTCACGGAGGATGGGCTAGCATTTCAGAGGGCTGAAGCGGCTCATTTGGAGGCCATTGCTTACTTTCCATATTGCTTTACATTGTTACTGGAAGGTGCAGCATATTAAAATCTGGGAGGGCTGGGGTATTTAACAGCTGAGCGCTCCTTCCCAAAGCAGGATGCATTGATTTTTTTAAATCTAGAAAGGATTTAGAAGGCCACGAGTTCATTTTTGGCAGGATACTTACCTGACCTCTTTTCTTGATACTGGGAGTGATGATGGAAACCCCTCATGAGCTGATGGAAACAACGCTTCGGGGGCTCAAGGCAATTCCATTAGTGAACATGTTTTATGGCTCCCCCGCTTGTGTGGAATTTGTCATACCATGGTGGCTTGCATGCTGCTGTGATGCCGGAAAGTGCTGGGGGAAGTACAGCTACGATGCTTCTTGGAAGGATTGCAAACTTTGTCTCACATACGTTGGTCTTATCATCAGAAGGGACCAGCCTCTGGAGAAGGGCATTGTGATGGTGAGGGATTATGCCAACTAGACACTCCTGGGGAAGGATTCGGGCTGAGTTCAACCTATCAATTGCTTCACAGACTGATGACACCTCCTTGGTATCATAAGCCTTTTTGTGTAAGAGAGAGAGAGAGAGAGAGAGAGAGAGAGAGACTGAACAGAATCCAGTCCTCTTTGGCCCTCTGCCTTCTGCCAAAACTGGATTTTTGCATCTGGTTCCATGATCTCCTGTTATGCTGAGTCCTCTGCCGATTCCAGGAGCTGTCAGCAGACTACAGATGGTGGATGTAGTTGGCTTCTGCATCCACCAGTCTGTGCTCCCTCGCAGTCTCAGCTTCATCAGCCTGCTTCCTGGTCATCAGCTTCTATGAGCCAGGAGAAGTTTGGCTTCACTGGACTGGACATACTTATTTCTACAAGTGTGTAAACCATTTCTCGATATAAATCACTTTCTATATACCACACTAGTGTTAGTCTGGGTTGACTAGAGAAACAATTTCATATACACTCATATATGTATAAGAGAGAGCTTTATATCAAGAAGCAATTATGTATCAATACAACTTCCCAGCCCAGTCCAGATCAAGTCCAAGAGTTCAATATTCGCCCAATAAGTTCTATAGTTGCCCATAAATTCCTCTTGAGACTCATGCAATACATACAATGAGGCCAAGTGCAGGAAGATCACAGGCCAGTGGGTGGAAAGTCTTATGGATCCAATGGTGGTGGAAACATCTCAATGCTGACAGGGGTCTCCATGTGGCTTCTCCAGCTCCAGGGCTCTGGTGGAGCTCCATGAGTCTTGTCAGCAGGAATATCTCAGAGGTAGTTTCTATGTGCCCTGCCTCCAGCGAGCTATTTATCTCCTTAGCGCCACCAAATGAGTCATCATGCTGCGACCTGGTTGACAGGCTAAACTCTACCCCTTCACTCTTAATAGTCTCAAATTGACAATAGATTATGTAACTACTGCACTCACACACACAAATGCCTCTGGTTTTGTTTCTGTAGAGAACCCAAACTAGACACTGTGCTAAAGAAGACCCTCAATGAGATGGAGTGACACAGGGGCTGCAACCATGGACTGAAGCAGAGGGATGATCGTGAGGGTGGTACAGGACTGGGCAGGTGTGTTCTGTTGTACATAGGGCCACTATGGGTTGGGACTGACCGGATGGCATCTAACAACAAAAACAACAATCCTTTGTGATTGCTCAACGGTTACGCAAAGGCTAGGTGCCAAGAATCTAGAGGACTTGGTGGTCCTGGTTCACAACTGAAGGACTCATCTCTGTTGGTCATCTGTGTGATCACTCATTAGGTCAGTCTGGACCATGGAGGTACACCCGCAGGCACTGATTTGGGGCACTGACTTTGAGATTCTGCTCAGTCATGGCCTGACAAGTGTCTTGGGGGAGTCTCACGGAGTTGCTGCCGGGAAGCGTGACCTTTATCCCGACCCCATAACCTGCGTTCAAAAGGAATCCTCCCTGGGTTTCCCTGTGCCCATGCAGGACACCCCCATTCTCAGCACATCATCGCTGGAATGATAGCCACCTACACCCCACCTGACATGCTGGGGGTCACCCATAGTTCATACCTGGCTACTAACCTAAAGGTTGGCAAATTGATCCCACCCAGCAAGACAGCAGAAAGGGCTGGCAATCTGCTTTAGTAAATATTGTTGCTAGCTGCCGTTGCATCAATTCTGACCCAGTGACTCTGGGGGACCCAGGAGAGCTGCCCCAGAGGGGTTCCTCAGCTGTCACCTGTACAGGAACAGATAGCCAGGTTTTTTCTTCCAGAGCGGCTAGTGTGTTTGAACAGTCGACCTTTTGGTTAGCAGCTTTAGCAAGACAAAACCCACAACCATAGTGTCAATTCTGACCCCTGGGTCCCTATGTAGGTATGATGGTTAGGGATTATGTCAGCCAGCACCTGCAGGTAAGAGTAGGGGCAGAGCCCAACCTATCAAGCCGGTCCCAGCCTGATGACACCTCCTTGGGTGTGGCCTTTGGTAGAAGAGAGAGAGACCGAGCAGAATGAGATTCGCCTTCTGCGGGAGCACCATCTCCCGTCCTGTCCCATGATCTCCTGTTGTGTCGCCTGTCCATCCCAGGAGCTGTCAGCGGACTACCAAGGTGGATATCCAAGCTCAGTCAACTTCTGATTCAAATGACCTCTGTACCCGGCAGCCTGTGTGCACCCAGGCCCGCCCTCTGTCTCCCCTTCCCCATCTCTGTTCCTTTGTTCTGCTTCCTCTTCATTAGTTTCCATGAGTCAGGAGAAGTCTGCCTTGAACAGGACTGGACTTACCTATTTCTACAACCGTATAAGCCATTTCCTGATATAAATCTTTTTCTGTAGACATTACACACAAAGGCTGCTGATTTTGCTTCTCTGGAGAACCCAACCTAACCCAGTAGGGCTTCTAAAGATTCGCAAATCTGACTGGGAACACGCAGCCCCATCTTTTTCCCTTGCTGCAGTGGGTGCGTGTGAAACATATGGTTAGCAGACCAAGTTGTATTTGACAGCACCACTGGGACACCTTGCAAAGCCTAGCAGGGCTGAGAAAGTGAAGGGAGGGAAGGGAGCACCCTTGGTTCAGCGTGGCACACAGAGCAACAATAAATGCATAGGAGGTCCCTGGTACATTAGGACAACAAACACGCAATAGGCGCTTTTGGTCTCCAGGTCCTGATATGAATCACCTCATTTCCTCTGTGCACTCACCCCTACGTGAAAACCAAACTCAATGCATTGAGTCAGTTCTGACTCATGGCCCCCTGACTATAGGGCAGGGTAGAATGCCCCTGTGGGTTTCAGAGACCCCACTGCAACTCTTCATAAGATTAGAAGTCTTATCTTTCTCCCTACATGGAGAAAACAGGCAGAGGAGGCAGTGGTTAACCTGGACTCCTTCATCCAACCAGCAGGACAACAGGACACCTGATGGAAACCACCCTTCCTTTGCTCTCCTTCACTCTTTCACACCCACCCAAGCACCATCTCTTCCTGGAAGCCTTCTCTGTCTGATCCCCATGAAGAGTCTCTGTGCTGACCTTCATGATGCCTTCTGGATTTCTCTGTTTACTAGCCTGTACCTATTGAATTATTTTTGGGTCAGTTTCTCAAAGGAGGGCTTTGTTGATGGCAACTTTGTTGAAGTCCAACTGTTGTCTTAGACTTCCCAGGGTTCAGACCAATGTGATGCCCACTGGAACACCCCAGGAGTCATTGCTGAAGGTTAGCAATGTGGACGCACTTGAAGGTTAGTGATGTGGACGCACTTGAAGCAAGCATTCCCCATTGTAGAAGAGCCAGTCTGGCCAAAGCAGATCAACACCTCAGGGAGACAGAATGGTTGCACATAGAAGGCTGTGCATCTGAAACAAAATCCACAAGCCCAGGCTGCATGGAAGGATGGAGTCAATGATAGGATAGATTTGAGGATGGGGAAAGGAGAGCCAGGGGAAGTGTGGTGCCAAACACCGAAGGTGCTCAGCATCTCAGAGGCAAAGGACTCTGGACCCGTGGTGGCCACTGACTTCTTATTCATTCTGGTGCACAATGTATGCTCTGTGGCGAAAACCTTACCTTCTACTGGTAACTCTTACTACAACACCATTGTACAAACCCAGAGGATCTACTATGCCTGAGAAGTCCAAATGAGGGCTGTAATACAAGTTATGCAGGACATTTTATCTAAAGTTCTTGAGTTAGGATTAAAAAAAATTTTTTTTTTATGATAGCCAAACCAGAAAGTCCCATTACTGCTTCCACGAAGTGTTCTTCAGTGGCCTTGATGAGTTACAGCTCCGGGCTGGAGTTCCTTCTGGAGACTCAACCATAATGCCCTGTCTCCTTGAGGGCAACGGGTCCATAGGTGGAGACTCAGGCAGCAAACTCAACAAGGGCACACTACAAACCCAAGACCAGCAATAGGAGAAGGGACATTTCTAGTCTTTGAATGATGAATTCCAAAAGCCATACCAATGGAGAGAGGGCACTGAGCCCTGCCAACATGTAGACTTGATGTTTTGCTAATTAGACACCACTACCATTTGAACGTGCACATATAACTGCACACACACAACACACTCATACACATATACCTCGCCCAAACCCAAACCAAACTCATTGACATTGAGTGAATTCTGACTCATAGCAATACTATAGGACAGAGTAGAACTGCCTCTGTGGGGTTCGGATGCTGCAACAATCTACAAGAGTAGACAGCCTCATCTTAGTTCTACAACACAACTTGTAGTTTTGAACTGCTGACCTTGTGATGAGCAGCTCAACACACAACAGGGCGCCCTAGCCCAGTATATATACACACTGTGCTCTATCACTGCATTTCAACTCTGGCTTCAAGATGCATCAGAACTGCTCAGATACTTTCCAAAGATACCAGGAACAGGAGTCATTCCACATGGCCTTACCCTGAGGTAGTTGAGGGTGAAATTGGTCAGCCCCATCCTGGTGATGTTTTTGGACAGTTGATCCAGAACCTGAGGATCTTGTGCCTAAAGAGATCAAAACAACAACAAAAAGTCATATGTTTACCCTGGCCCAATGGACAGGTGGTGGAGATAAATTAATCTATTTGTCTATCAGTAGACATTTGCATGTAACACCTAAGGAAATGTTCGAAGAAGGATGTATGGCTTATTATCCAGGGAAACCCTACTGACTCCGATGTGGTCTCTGTCTTGGGGAGAAATGGCTCTGCTTCTTTCTTGGGAGGGCCCAGGACTGCTGCTTCAGGGTCTGAAAGTTGGGGTACAAGACACTGGGGCCCACGTCATTCACCATGGATGGCAGGCCCTTGTTTTAAGGCTGGTCTAGCTTTCTGGCTATGATGGTGCTGATGTTTGTAACAGCCTAGAGTTTGAGACTCAGTCTGAAAAGTTTGCAAGAGTAATCAACATATCTAGAAATGTTTTTCAGAGTCTAGAATTTGGGACAGCTGCATGGGCTTCCCCAAATGTTAGGTCTGGCCAGGAATCATGAAAACCCTTTTTAGTTCCCATTTTAAAATTAAGTTGATAGTCCTTGTTTTTGTTTACTCTGTTGTCTTTAATAGGTAGAAGCAATTTGGAGCTCCTGATGGTACAGATGGTTAAGCAATGGGAAGATTAGTGATTCAAACCCACTCAGAGGGATTCAATAGGAAAGACCGGGAGATCTGTTTCTAAAAGATCACACCCTTGTAGGCCCCATGAAACAGTTCTAGTTCTACCTTTGGGCACACAGGGTCACCGAGACTCAGGATCAACTTGAGAGCAACAGACAATGTGCCAAGATAAGCAAATTGGCTCTACACGGAGGGAAACATGAGAAAGTAAACATCCATTTGTCTCCATTCTCTCACCCTTAATTTATTCTCTTCTAGACTCAATTCTTCTCACAGTGATATTACCAACCAGATGTATACATGTTTGCATAGTGAGCCAATGGTATCTAGTTACTGCCAAGTTGCTTCTGACTCATGGTGATGCCATGTGTTGGCCACACGTTGTAAAACGTTGGCACAAGATTTCCAATGGCTGCTTTCTTTGGAAGTCAATCATCAGGCTTTTCATCAAAGGTGCCACTGGGTACGCCATCCCCCAAGCTTTAGGTTAGCAGCCAAGCATGTTCACCGTTGCCCCACCTAATACATATACATATAGGTATGCATATGAATTATGCTGCTAACGAAGAATATTGAAAGCACCTTGGCCTGCCAAAAGGACAAGCCAATCTATCTTGGGAGAAGTACGGAATGTTTCTTAGAGGCAAGGCTGGTAAGACTTTGTTCACATATTTTGGACATGTCAGGAGAGGCCAGTACCTGGAGAAAGACATGTTTGGTAAAGTAAAGGGCAGTGAAAAAGAGGAAGATTTTTGACAAGATGGATCGGCACAGTGGATGTATTGATAGGCTCAAACATAAGAACAGTTACGAGGATGGCACAGTGCTGGGCAGAGTTTCCTTCTGTAGTACACACGGTTGCAACCATATTGATGGTACCTAACAATAGCAGCATAATAAACACCATCATAATATGGAAGAAAACAGTCACATGGTATCACTCTTCATGTGAGTTTCTTGAAATGGGGTGCTTGGCAGACATCGGGTCAGTACTTCTTGAACCCTTCACATGTGCCAGGAGGAACATTCAAGTAGACACAGCTGATCTCAAGAAGTCTGCATTCCACCTGGCAAAAAGCATGAAAATCAATGAGGAGAAGGGTAGGGCTGCTTTGCTGCTGCTGCTGCTTGTCACTAGCCAGTGTTTGGTGAAGGCATGCTATGGGCCAGGCACTATTTAAGTGTTGTATGTGCATTCTCACATGTGATAGTTGAGGTTTGTGTCAACTTGGCTTGACCAGGATTTTGGCAATTGAGGCCTAGTATTGTCTGAGGGAAGCTCTATGATTGCACTCATTTTATAGATGAGGGTCTAGTGGGGCAGACATGACAGTCCATTTGTCTAAAGTCACATAAGACCCGGGTCAAAAATCCATGCCATCTAATTCTAGATTCCAGCTTCCCAACCACCACCCCTTGGAAGAGTAGAAGACTTGAACTAGGCTTTGAAAGTCGAGAAGGACTTGAGTGTGGGTGGTCAGAAACACTGAAAGTGACCATATGGGTCCCCCAGAAAAATGAACCAGGTCAAGGGGAAAGGCAAAGGCAGAGGAGAGGACTGAGGACAGAAATCCAAAGACATGCTGGGGTCAGCTGGTTGGTTTAACAACCTGGGCTTTGGAGTCAGTCAATAGGTTCTTAGTGTTGCCATTTCCATGCTGGAAAATAATAGGCACTTTATGGAACCTCTCGGACACCTTTAAAACAGTAATAATATCAGTCCATCTATACGAGTTGCTCTGAAGATTAAATCATAACATATACCAAACATGCAGAATTGGACCTGGCACATGACACACTCAACAACTGCTAATGGTTGTTATTTCCAACGGATGGTAGCTGTGCATGAGCTGTGCTGCCCGAGCCTCCCGGCTGGAAGGGAAGAATTCCCCTGCTGAACAATCACCGCTTCCCTCTCACTGTGTTATTGTGATTGGTTGCCAACAAGCCAGCTCCTACTCCTCTCAGCCATATATATCATGGAAGTAAACATTGCCCAGTGGCAGCTTCATGATCATTGGTGTTTTGTGTCTATTACGACTACTGAGTCAACCCATCTCATGGAGGGTCTCTCTCATTTCCCTTGTCACGCCACTTTACCAATTAGGTATTTTTGAGCTAGTGATGATGTGTCCAAAGTAAAGCGTGTCGAAGTCTTGCCACCCTTACTTCAAGGGAACTTTCTGACTGTATTTCTTCTAAGACGGATCTGTTCATCCTTTAAGCTGTGCACAGTATACATGAAGGTTTTTGACAACAATATAAGTTAGAACCTGTCAGTTCTTCATTTGCCTACCTTTATTCACTATCCCATTTTTATATGCATTGGGGGCCATTGATAAGACCACTATGCGGCTCAGACAACCCCTGGGTAAATCAACATCTTCTTCAGGGATTGTGGCTCACCAGCTCCTAGCTGATCTTACCTTCAAATTACAGCACCAGTTGGGTATCCAATTTGACCTCGTACCTTGCTAGTGTTCAATGCATTTGATGCGATTAGTAGCGAGATGAAGCCAAGGGAACAAACGTGCCGCTTCGAGTCCAGCCCTGTGACCAGGAACCACGTGACACCAGGCCCGGCCCCCGTCAGATGGTTCTAATCAGAACCGGGAACTGTTTCTCTTACTTGTTTTATTTCCTTCCCCAGTTATACCTAACAGGTTTGTTAGCCCAGTCAGAGCGCCACTTGATAATAAACAAATGGAATTTACGGGAAGGACAAAGTGTTTATTGAGGTAACCTCACTTTGGAGTTTAAAATAATATGAAGTATGAAAAACAATCTCATCATGCACCCAGACGCAGAGATCCAAAGGAAAACCTAAAAAGAGCCTGTGGATTCTAATGGTTAGAGGGAAAAAATCCAATAATTTAGAGTTAATTACCTAAAGTGTGGAAACAAGTGGAGCTCTTTCATCCAGAGAGAACTGGGCTTTTACCCTTGAGTAAAATAGAAGGGGGTGAGGGGGGCAGAGACAAAGAAAAGTAAAAGAGAAATTAAATTACTTACATGCATGGCTAGAATGCTTCTTGGGACTAATTCTCTGTATTGTCTAATGGTAAAGTGCCATGTTTTTATTCTCATGAGATCATCAAAGGTGAACTCCAAGATCAGTCTGCCTTCTGTACATACCTGAAAGCAACAAACAATACATTCCTTTGTGATCCACATTAACATCACAGCGTGGCACCCCCAGGTCAGCTGCTCGGCTGGGTCTCTCCCACTGGCCTGAGGCTGGTTTGTGGCCAAGATGGTGACACAGCAGATCGATCTCAGGCATAGCTGGACCAATACAAACTGGGGGCTTAGTGCTCCATGGTCCTCGAGTTGAAAGGCCACCTCTACTGATTCATAGTCATGGGAGCTACTGAAGCTACGAACTCCTGCTTTGTCTTCTGTCTCTCTCGATGAGATTCAAGCCCATGTTGTAGAGACCTTTGTACTGAAAACTCCTCCCACACGTCACTCAAGCTCTGACTGCTCTCTCTTCAATTCTAGCTCACCGTGACCCCTCAGCACAGCGTAGAGCTGCCCCTGTGGGCTTCTGGGGCTGGAAAGCTTTCCCACGGCAGAAAGCCTCATCTTCCTCCTGGGAAGTACCTGGGATTTTCAAACTGCTCAGCTTGCAGTTTCCTCTCACTGTTGCCTACTATTTCTTCCACCTTTTATCACCCCTTTACCATATAGGTGAGAGGAGCCCTGTTGGCGTAGTGGCTTACATGCTGGGCTGCTAACTGCAAGGTCGGGGTAGTTTGAATCCCCGTCACTCTTCAGTAGAGAGATGAGGCTTCTGCTCCCGTAAGGATTTACAGCCTTGGAAACCCCTAGGGGCAGCTCTCCTCTTACCTTTAGGGGTTCTCTGTGTCAGAGTTGTCATTGTCACTGGCAGTGAGTGAGACCCTAAAACCCTGAGGGCATCTTCTAACGTTGGTTATCCTGAATCAGGAGGATGTATCCAATAAGAGTGATCATGCTTCCTTGTGAGCGACAAGAGGGTTTCTCAATAGGAGTCCCAGAAGGCAACGATTCACCCTGGCGGGTAGGGACCGTGGCTGACAGGTGTAGAAAAGAGGCTTCCTTAGAATCTATTCTTCCTCTAGTTCCTAAATGTTTCCTCTGCCCCCCACTATCATGATACGAATTCTACCTTGCAAGCCTGGCTGGACCAGAGGATGTACACTGGTACAGGTAGGAGCTGGAAACACAGGGAATCCAGGGCGGATGATCCCTTCAGGACCAGTGGTGTGAGTGCCGATACTGGGAGCGTAGAGGTAGAGTGGGTTGGAAAGGGGGAACCGATTATAAGGATCTACATGTGACCTCCTCCCTGGGGGACGGACAACAGAAAAGTGGGTGAAGGGAGACATCGGACAGGGCAATATATGACAAAATAACAATTTATAAACTATCAAGGGCTCATGAGGGAGGGGGGAGCGAGGAGGGAGGGGGAAAATGAGGATCTGATGCCAGGGGCTTAAGTGCAGAGCAAATGTTTTGAGAATGATGAGGGCAATGAATGTACAAATGTGCTTTACACAATTGATGTATGTATGGATTGTGATAAGAGTTGTATGAGCCCCTAATAAAACGATTAAAAAAAAGAATTGTACAATCATCACCCCCCCCCCTAAAAAAAAAGAATCTAGTCTTGGATCTTCTTAAATTCACGATGGTAGGTTCTGCCTCCATAGGGGTCAACTTTTGAAGGAACACGCCTATCTTTTTAAGAAAAATGATATGATTAATGAAGCACCGTGAAGTTTTTGAGACTCTCCCCCTTGATAGACTGGCAAGTGGCAGGGTAGATCTTGCTCCTTTGGGGTGAGATTCAAGCCATTTTCAGGGTGCCGTTTTGACTCTGTTCCCAGTTAACAACTTTGGGATGGGAGATGGTGGTGGTCATTCACACACCACCGAGCCTGTCTCTACGGCAGCAGATTGCTCCAGCTCAATCTTGGCAGCTCACTGATTAGTCCAGACATCCTTCAGGAAAGCAGAGCTAAGCAGTGGAGACTTTGGGGGTCAGGCAGTAAGTACTGGGTTCAAATGCAACTTTTTACTCATTCTGGAACTTTGGGGAAATCAAATAAATTCTCTACATTTCTGTTTCTTTGTCTATCAAACGTGGGCTCTAATATCCTTAGTAGTTGGGAGAGGACAATACATGAAATTGTGTAGGGAGATTGTCTAGCATCATACCTGGCATATAGTAAGAAGCCTGTTAATGACAGCTTTAGAGATTAAAGAAGCCTGGGCTTGGTTGCCACAGAACCAGATATTGGTAGCCTTCTAAAGCTCATGAAGAAGGAGCCGGGGAGTGGAGTGGGTTAAGTGTTGGGCTGAGAACCACAAGGCAAGCAGTCTGAAAGCTTCAGCCACTCTGCAGGAGGAAGAGGAGGTTTTCTGTTGCTGTGAAGAATTAGTCTTGGAAACCCCTAGGGTTGCGGTGAGTCAACAGAATGGAGGGCACTGAGGAAGGTTCTTGGGATGCAGCGCAGAGGCTCTGCTTGGGGCTGGGGCTGGAAGGAAGCTGAGCCTCCACCAGCACTCAGCTCCTAAGCATTTCCTGAATTCCACCAGCGCGGCCTACATTTTTAAGAGCCCTTGTGGCTCAGTGGTTAAGTGGTTGGCTGTCCATTGGAAGGTCTGTGGTTCAAACTCACCAGTTGCTCCCTGGGAGAAAGATGTAGTTGACTGCTTCCGTCAGATTCCAGCCTTGGAAACCTCCCCACCCCCAAACCAAGCTCCCTGCCATGGAGTGGACGTTCACCTGTCCTGTAGGGTCCTGATGAGTCAGAATTAACACCATAGCAACAAGGCTGGGTTGGGTTTTTTTGCATCATCAATTTGATTTATTTTAACATATTGGGCTTTGGGTAGACTTTATTTATAGAGAGATTATTTCATTTAAAATCCCTGCACTGCAAAAAAAAAAAAAAAACCAACATAATGACAATGAAGTAATTAGGGGATATGCTCATTTATAAGGCTGTAACTTTATTTAGATGATTACCGATTCATATAAAACTTTTTGGGAAACATCACAGCACTTTCTTTTGGTGTGTGAGTTTAATACAAATGCCTTCATCATTTGAGTTCCAGCTACTCACTAGGCACTGGTTCGATGCTTTCTATTCACTTGGCCTGATTTAAGGTGCTATTTTCTAGCAGCAAGTCAAACGCAAGAGAGAAGAGCTACTAACACGTGTGATAGGACTCAACTCAAGAAAGACTTTGCTAACACTGGTCACTGATGTTTTATCCAAGTTCTCAGAAGCACGGTAAGATAATTATTGGTAGTCCGGGTGAAGCCCTCTATCTCGGATCCAATTAGCAGAACTGGTGGGTAATTTCCGGTATCTGAACACCTTGCTCCAACACTCCCCGTTCAATGATCTACAGTCTTGTTTTTGAGCATCTTCACCACCAGAGTTGAGCACACAGACGGGGGCAGACTAGTGTCTCTGAACCACTCCTCCCAGCACATCGTCAGCGCTGAAATTGACCAAGGCTTTCAAAAGGAAGGGTACATGGTGAATAAGCCAAGCATCCTACCCCCCCTCCCCCAACCCGGGACGTTAGTATGACAGAAGTCACTTGTCGCGCTGACTTTCATCACAGAGAAGTAGCTAGAGCCAGTGACCAATGGTGAAATGTCCTCACAATAGAGTATAGGGGCATGGGGATGTGCTCTCCAACCCTCTTTTTAAAGATTGGTGTTTACTGGACACTCACACACCTATTAGCCCCGTTAAATGTCATGCTTCTCTATTGTCTCGACCATGTGAGTGGTTCTAGGAACCACAAACGTGGAATCTCTGGTTTACTGCTCATGGAGTCGAATTCCATAATGAGAAGTGCTGCTGTCAGGATCAGTCCCCGGAGAAGGAGGGCATCGTGCTTGGGGATGGCGAGGGTCAGCGAATAAGAGGAAGGCCCTCTGTGTGATGCAGCGACGAGCTCCAATATACCAGTGATTGTCTGGATGGCACACGACTGCGCAGTGTTTTGGTCCACTGCACAAAGGATGGAGCGATAGCATCTCCTATCAACAACAAAGCTCCGCAGCTGATGCAGCCGCTCCAGGTTCATGAACAACACTTTGAAGGTCGTCTGGTGTACACGTGTCTTGGTGACAACAACAGGTGGTACGTGGTCATTCTGATGAGTTCCTCCATGGGAGCTTCTGTAAGGCCAAGTCACATTGGTTTCTGTGTCCTTGGGAACCCTGCAAGTCAGTTGGGGATCCTTCTTGTGCTCCAACGGTCAGAGGCCTACAGACTAGAACGTGGCAAGATATTGGACTTCTCTGAGGGGCTGATTATAGCTGAGAGAGGATGTGCTTCATCCAGAGTGTCATATGAGATCTCCCTACATGGGATTCTTCCACCAAGAATCCCTGGGTGGCAAAAATGGTTTGCTGTTTCCATGAAGATAACCAGGATGGCTTCCTCGAGTGAATGGATTGAGGAGACTTCCAGTCATGGATGATGTTCTCCAAGGATTTGCTTCCACCACCTTCTCCCAAGCCATGTGTGGCCTCCATGCCCCCACCCACAACCCCCAGAGAAGTTAAAGAGAACCAAAGTCTTGGCGATTTATTTTATATGCAACAACCAGCAAATGGTTGTACATGAGGAAAAAAACCCCACACACATATTTCTGGTTCTGAAGTGGAAAAAAAAGGGGCATATCCGAGAAAAAGGGAAATTAATGTTTTCTCTCTTCAGAAAAATTCTGTGCATTTCTCTGAATCAATACAATTAGTACAGCCTTTATCTGAAGTTGGTCTTTTTTTTTTTTTAAGCCTTTCTTTCACTTGGAATCCAAAATCAAAAGGGGCTCCAATTAAGAAAACATTTTCTGTTGGGCTGAATTCATGTTACCGCGCTGTGAGCTCTGACATTTTGTTTCTGTGGTAACCAAAATCAGCTGATTAGTTGGCATGGCAACAGAAAAGATGTAATCCCAGCAGACACACTCTAATCAATGCCCCCAGCACAGATGGTCTCCGGAGGATCAACAAGAAAGAGGCTGGCAGGCATTCGGCGCATCACGTGATCGCTTGAGACTAGGCCAGGAACCGTGGAACGAGAAAAGGAGGACGTTTCTCAAACGAACCCGTGGCTTTTTAACCCTTTTCTCTCTTTGACTCCGTGTGAAGCAATATTGACTGTGCTGTTGTTGCGGCTGTCGACTCTCAGCTGGCCTTTAGGAAACAGAGCAGGCTTTCTCAGCAGGGGTGTTGCGTTCAGCTCCTTGGACTTCATGTTTGGAAGTCTGCATGGGAGAGTGCCTTGAGGTGATGGTTGCATGAAGCTCCTTGCACTTTACCTAAAGCACATAGCAATGTGTACATACATGTATACATGCCTCCTACATACGTACAATGAACACATATGAAGGGCACATATACAAATGTGCATCTTTCTCTGTAGATATCTGTGTCTATATCTAGCTATTGTTAGCCATCAAGTTGCAGAATGAAATTCTGCCTGGTCCTTTACCATCCTCATAATCATTTTTTTATGTTGGTACCCAAGGTTGCGACTACTCAGTCATAATATATATATACACTAGAAGATTTCAAAGAATTTGTGGGAAATTGTGTGTGTGTTTATGTACATATAAACCAAACTCACTGCCATCGAGTTGAGAGTTGCTGTGTGTATGTCTGTTTATATATATATATATATATATATATATGGGCTTCAAAATGTTCTTGGGAAAAGTTCATTTTTCACAAATTTTTAACATCCCCCCACACCCTCCCACACACACAATGCTCCTGTCCATTTCTGAGATTGCAACTCTTTACAGGAGTAGAAAGACTCATCTGTCTTCTGTGGAACCATTGGTGGTTTCAAACTACTGACCTTGCAGTTAACAGTCTAATGTGTAACCACCATACCACCAGGCGTCACAGTATATGAGATACAGACATAGTGTATTCATACAATTCACTCCTCACACCTATGGTCTGGCTAGAACCAGGCTAAGCGTAAACCTCCTGAGTATAACGTGGTCTATAGACTTGCTCGGGTAGGAGGAGGGAGTCGGTATCCAAGACAGAAGTGAGTACACATGCAGAAAAGTTGGCTGGTGTACTTCCATGGTATTTTCCCCAGTAATAAATAATTCCATAATAAATACTGAATACCAGAAAAAGAACATAAACCTATATTTACAGAGGTGATAAGCTTGTGCGGGAGTGCCTATAACTATGTTCCCAGTTTGTAAAACTGAACAACTCCAAGAATGCACCCCAAATGGCTTCCCTTAGGATCTGTCCTTGCTCACACTCTCAGATAGAACCTGGGGATCCCTGATACTGAGAACCTTGAAGTGTGCTCCTTAAGCCTTGTTTTCTATTTGACTCAAAACAGAAAACATAAAAGAGAGGTTTTCTAATTTGTGTTTTAAAACTCTAATTACATATTTATCTGTAATCTATAATGTTGCCGGGACCAGGAAATTGCAAAACGTGCACTGTACTCCTGAGGAATATTAACTATTACTGCTGATTAGGAAGGGGGCTGATTTTTGGATTCACTGGTTGACCAAATTTTCATAAGGCCAACTTGGAGCCCAAGGATCAAGTGTTATTTACGGAATTAGAGTTTATTGGAGGTCTCAATGAGAACAATGGGGTGCTGCCTACACCCAATGTGCTACACTGTGCCGTGTGCTGCTAGTGGGTCCCCCTGAAAAAGGAAACTGGGTTCTGAGCGATTCTTCTCTCTGTATATCTCTGTGACTCTAATATCCACTCTGTTACATGAGACCATCATCGTCGTTTATTACATCGAGATGTGTTGTTTCTAATTCACGGACGAGCGAGAGACCCAGTTGAAGGGTTCTTTGGGGGGGGTCTCATGGCCTCCAAGGGGCAGGGATGGAAGCAAACAAAGCGCAAAGCACAAGAAGGAAAACCACGAAGAGCGGGTGAGAAAAATCCCCAGCATCTTAAACAAATGTTTCCTAAAATAAATGTGTGTAATTAGTTTGTGGATTAAGTCCACATGGAGCTCCATTGCCCAGAAAGCGATGTGTTCACGACAGCATGGGAATATTCCCTCCAGGAGTCAGCAGCTACAGTGGCACGGAGAAGAGTAAGCGTAAGCTCCAGTCGAGGAAGGGCTACTAGGCACAGAGGGTGCAGTATTGCACAAGGTGCTCAGAGCTTCCCAGTGAATAGCTTGTATGCCTGAAGGAAATAGGCATCCGCCACAGAGTGGAGAGCTTCCAGTAGTAGAACAAGTACAAAACAGAACAGAACCCCCAAGCCCATTCGTCAGTCCTTTGTTTCTGACTCACGGGGACCCAATGTGCCAAGGAACTATGCTCCAGTGCGTGTTCTTGGCTGCCATTGTTATGGGAAGAGGTCACCCAGGTGCCAGTGGGTGGGTAAGACCTGCCAACCGCTCAGTTAGTGTGCTGAGGACAAACCGTTTTCGCCACCCAGGGATCCTTGACGGAAGAATACCATGGAGGGAGATCTCAGTTTCTCAGTTTGGATAGTGCTGCCTTTTCTCCATTCATCAGAAGAACAGGCTATGTGTTGACGTCAGACAAGTTCCGGATGGACAGCACTCTATTTCTATCTAGAGCAACGAACTGTGCTGAGTTACCCCGCGTCTGAAAAATTCCAGCTGGGGAAAGTAGCAGTTGAGTCAATATATGAACACGTGCCTTTCTTTTAGAAAGCTATGGCAAAGCTTTAGTTCATCATCGTGGGAATTTGATTCCCTATAAAGTATGAAGGATTGGTATGTTTTCTGCAGATTGCCAGAAAGTAACCCTAAGTCCAGAGAAAAATAATAAGGAAGCCACCAAGAAGGGTCTGCAGTGCTCAGGTTCATGAACACTCGGAATGGCTGGATAGCCATCTGATCTACCACTTTATGAACATTTATTCTGTGTCTCCAGGACGATGTGAGGTGAATTCAAAGGATCCAGGTGGTGGGTTCTTTCCTATTGGAAAAGCCCCTTCCACTCATGGACTTCTCTCAGTGTTCAGCGGGAACTGATCACAGGATCTACAGATAACCCCCTCCCTGGGGCCAGACAACAGAAAAGTGGGTAAAGGGAGACGTCGGACAGTGTAAGACATGACAAAATAATAAGTTATAAATGATCAAGAGTTTGTGAGGGAGGGGGCGGAGGGAGGGAGGGGAAAATGAGGAGCTGATACCAAGGGCTGAAGTAAAAAGCAAATGTTTTGAAAATGATGAGGGCAATAAATGTACAGATGTGATTGAAACCATGGATGGATATATGGATTGTGATAAGAGTTGTACGAGCCCCCAGTAAAATAATTTTAAAAAGACAAAACGGAGAAGTTCTTTTGTCCTGAACTGACAAACAACAGCAAACAATAAAATAACACAACACAACACAAAACGAAAAACAGTTTCAACAGGCTAACTGTTAAGACAGGAGGAAAGAGAAATAGGCCTATTTCCTATTTAAAATGTCTACTGATGAAATCAAGTAGCCCTGTTAGTGTAGCTGGTTACTCATTGAACTGCTAACCATATAGTCAGCTGTGCAAACCCTCCAGCCTTCCCAGAGGAGAAAAATGAGGCTGTCTGTACCTGTAAAGATTTAAATTCTGTCCTGTTCAGTCACTACGAGTCAAATTTGACTCAGTGGCAGTGAGAAAATTTTATTTAATTGATAAAATCAAGACACTATAATATTAATAGCATGTGGTAATTTGGGTTCACATTTTATAACCATTTCTTTTGCCTTGATTTTTTTTTTTAAACACCAGCATAGGACACCACAAAGATGCAAGATTGTCAACTAGATCGAGGAATACGTTAGCAAATCTCAGAACTTCCTCAAATTTGAATTTACAGAAACCTTGTAGTCCTTAATATTATTTCTCTTTCCTAGATGACGGCTACTTGGGTTTTGTTTAATTCATTTTTCTTATTGGAATGTTAAGATTTGAAGCTGGCTTTATTTATTTATGCTAAATGCTGGTAATGTAAGGCAAACACCGCACAATTCTAGCAGAATATCTCCCTAGGAGCTGAATCCTTTTTTACACAAAAACAAAATGTTTTAGCAACTAAAGTCTGACCATTGGGGTAGACTTTCTTTTGAGATTTGAGACTGAGCTACAGTATCCTGTTTTGACATTCCTGTGCTCCAGGCCACACACATGTATCTAGACATACCCACCCATGCCACGCCACAAAGATGATCTCTTGGTGGGAAAGGTATCTGAGGTATTAGAAACTGGCTCAGTGTTCTATAGGAAGACCAGAGTGATGATTCTTCAGTACGCCCAGAGAAGAAAAAGCAAAGTGGATTAGCAAGTCTGAACTGTACCTTGGTAAACATGGGCTTCCCGTGTTGGGTGACCATGGCACACTGGTCACAGTCCACCGTGATGGATGAGTTGTGGTATGATTCTTTTGAGTGTTTGAGAATGTAATACAGGTCGGTGACTCCTCCTTCGAACACAGTGCTAAAGTATCGGGGGATGAGGGTCCTGCCGATAGCTGGGAGAGAAAGAGAAACAAACCATTAAAACAAGCAGTAGACACTGGGTGCTCACCCAGCTCCATCGCACTCTCCTATCATGCCATGCCAATCATCCCAAGAAGCCATATGTCCTCTGCCTTGAGAGCAATGTTTCCCAAAGTGGGTGATAGCATCCCCTCGAGGGTGCTGGAAACGTCTGGAGAGCAGATACCGACACCTTATACTGCTTTATGGGCTATCACATGAATATTTTTAATTATCAGAGGGATGCTGAGTAATTTTTTTTTTTCTGAAAAGGAAGTGCTAGGCCAAATAACATTTGGAAACTATGTATACCAGAACGAAACATTACCCGGTCATGTGTTAGTTGGTCCTCATGTTAGTTGGTTTGTTTTGTGCATATGTTGTCTCATTCTATCGCATGAAGCATTTGCCTTGTTTATGGCCCACCATCTACTTGCCCAAACATGATATCCTTTCTCAGGAAGCAAATCTCTCTTAGCAAACTGCCAGGACCCTTCTGGGTTACAACAGTGAAATAAAATCCCCAAGTAGCCAGGAAATTAGTGCCATTATTTCTCCAGGTTTTGTGTCTGCTGAAAGTCAATAATATATGGGAGAAAACACATTCTTTTCTTGGATCACACATACCAGGGGCTTTCAAAATCTGTGGAACATTCCTATCTTTAAATCCGATTTTTTTCATGGACTTTGTGAAGCCCCCTCACACGATCAAAATGAACATTTTTGAAAAAAGAAAATACAAATACATCAGAAAATGACTCGAATTTTTCCATGGTTCAGTTACAAGCCAGTTTAAAAACTTGTACTAATATAATAATACTAAGTTTAAAATTGAATGCTTTGTGGTGTGTGGAGTAGCTTAGCCATCTCTTGTTGAAGCTTCAGAACAATTCTAAGAGCATAGCAGACTTGTTGGCTCTCCTTTAGAGATCCTAGAATGCCAGTGTGAAAAAGAAAAAAACAAAACAAAAAACTATCAAGGAAAGATTATAAGTTTGTTGTTGCAGTTGTTGGGCCCTGTCTAGTCAACACTTAGCACAACAGAATGAAACACTGGTCCTGCACCAGGCTCACAATTATGGCTATGTTCAAAGACATTGATGCAGCCACTGTGTCAATCCCTCTTGTCAAGGGTGGCTCTTTTGTGCCACCCCATTCACTTTTCCAAATGTAACTTCCTTCTCCAAGGATGGGTCTCTCCTGACAATATGTCCAAAGTATGTGAGATGAAGTCTTGCCATCCTTGCCTCTCAGGAGCACTGTGGTCTTACTTCTTCCAAGACAAAGTTTAGAATGCTAGAAGTTTAGAACTTCCCATTCAAAGTTTAGAAGTAACTAATTGGAGTCTGTAATTTTGAAAATATTACAGACTTTAAATGGCTTTAAAGAATGGAGATGTTGACCAATGGATGGGAATCCCCATAAGAAAAGACCCCTGCTTGTGTAACTGTCAATATCCTGGGTTGTAGAAGTTCTTTCTTGAGCATAGATATCTCATTTTAAGAGAACTTGATACCTTCCATTTGGTGGGAATTGGTCTTCTTCCAGACTGTATATCCTGCCTCGCCCATGTTTACTTTGAACAGTTGTGTAAGTATCTGGGCCTTTGTGATATATGATGCTTAGCAACACTTAACAAGTTCTTGCTTCAGCAGGGGTTTGAAATCCTCTTACAATGAAAATCCCAACTCATAAGACGGGGAATTTTGCTTACGTGCAGATTTGAAGGCAGAGTCCTTCTTAAGCAATTAAAGATTTTAATAAATCGCTTTCTTCCACTACCTAATGCCTCCGGAAAGACAAAAATAATACTTAAGATAAATAAACTAAGAAAAGGAGCTTTAGCTGGGAAAGATCCTCCAATCTTTGCTTGAATGTTTTACAATATTTAGTTTCATTGAATAAGAATCAGTGTTAACCCATTCCATATGGATCTATATCTCCTTTGTAGATGGGCTTGGGAAGAAATGAATTCTCGAAGGACGACCTTGGCAAAGAGTTTGCTGACGTGGTCACTGAAGAACACCAATTGGAATGCCTCATGCCCGGAGGATGTCTACAGTGGTGATGGATTCACATGGACAGCAGGTTAAATCCATCAACAAGTGTGTATTCAGTATTCTAGGGCACCTATCTGACAATCCCCCCAGCTCCACTCCCTGCCCCTGCCCCTGCCCCTGCCCCTTAAAGCTTTCTTAGATGTCCCCAATCCAGCTTCATTCACCAAAGGGCAAGGTCATTAGCTGAATTTAAAAGTCAAGCAACAGTCACTTGACCCCACCAGTCCTTTACACATCTGCACAGCCCATAGAACAAGGAACATTTTGTAACATGGACATTCTTTTTCTGCTTTACAGAACAGATCAAATTAATGTAATGCATCTCAAATGTTCCAACTCAAAGCTGATTACCATAAAGACATCAGCTCGAGGAATTCAATGATTTGGAATCTGCTCCATCAACATGGAGACAGAGGGGGGGATGATATTTCACTCTGCCAGCCAAGGGCTTTTTACATGAGAAGGGTCACCACCAACAAACATGACTGGATTAGTCCCGTGGTTCATCACCACTGCCACACAAATGAAATTCTCTGTCGCATAGCTAGCTGTATAGCATCATTATTTTGTTCCCCCATAGTACAGGAAAACCAGCAAAAGCCAACAGCCATGTGCAGCAGCAACCTGTCAGAGAAGGGAAGCTCACATACTTTTGACTAACTCAAGCGACAGGTATGTGGTAAGACGGCATTCTGCCCGAGGTGGGAAAGCTGCAAAATTCAGCCATCATGACAACACACCTGCTGATTCCTTCGGGGGTAGCAAGGGTTGCCCTACAAGAATTTCACTGGGAAGCCCCAACCCACCCACCCTCAGGCCTTGATATGGCCTCTTCTGATTTCTCTGTGGGGCCCCAGACCTGTTTCCTCTTCTGATTTCTCTTTATTCCCAAATTCAAAGAACATCAAAAAAGAACACAGTTTCTGTTCTGGAGAAACAAGGCAGCCTGGCCCATTTCCAGCTCTCACAGGTCTCAGGACACAAGAAGAGTGGAGTGGGGAAAGGTTTGAGCTATCCAAGCTTTAAGTCTAAACCTTTCACAATGTCTCCAGCTCCAAAAAATGTACACATTTGATAGTCAAGACAGAAGAGAAATTTTTAAAAAGTCATGCGACGAGGACTTCAGTTCATGCCCATGTTCTCAAAATCCAAACTCACTACCACTGAGTTCATTACGACTTCTTAGTGATTCAATAGGACAGGGTAGAACCGCCCAGGTTGGGTTCCAAGACTGTGACTCTTAGCACAAAGCCTCATCTTTCTCTCAAGGAGCAGCTGGTGGTCTCCAACTGCTGACTTTGGGATTTGCAGTCTCCCATGTAACCACTAACCAAACAGGAGCTCTTTTGTTTCAACTCATACACCCATTGCTTAGTTTATTCCAAGCAAAATGGGTTAACACAGGTGTCTGCAATCAGTGGGTGGCTGCAGACAAGTTCTCGGTGATAAGCTTGTCTTCATCTCCAGATGGTGACTATCGAAGGCCCGCTCAAAACGGGGCTTCTGAAGGCTCAACTACTACTGCTTAATTGTTGATTTCCAACCCCTTGAAAATAAGTAACCATACATACGTGACCTTAATTAGGTGAAATCATTTGGAATAGGGATAACTGACTCTTGGGCTTTTAGAATTATTTCAGACAGGACAATTACCTGATAAACTGACTTTCCAATATGATGGTTTTATGCAGTTCTGCTAATGCGGCAGTACCTCAAAAGTCCAAACAGAAATTCGACTATTGAGCTGTATTTGTAAACAGAACTTCATTAAACTATAGAGTCTAGACCAACCTCAATGTGGAAATCAATGAATGCAATGAATGCATTATGCTGACATGTAAATAGAAATATTACGAACAGAGGAAGAAATGATATGGATGCTATCTTTGATGGCACATAGCCATTTGAAATCACCCATGTATCCAAATAAGTCATGCCAAACGTTGATGGGAGTGTGGCCTGTCAGTGGGGTCTGAAAGCTTTTAAATGTGCCTCTAGATAGTTCCACATTTAAAAATATATATCTATGTTTGGCAATGTTTCTTGGATTCAAGTAGGGATGATCTCCACTTGAGATAATTCTGATCAGCTCCTGATTAGTGATTATGAACAGCACTTAACATATGTAGGAAGAGCAAAATAGAAAATGCTAGCAATTATTTAATAAGTGTAATTAGGTTACCCATGATTAGATTCCACACCCCCACTTAAGGAAGAACCCGAGAGCCAGCTAGTACAATGACTAGGGTGTGACAAAACAGAACTCTTTGCTGCTTTTAAGCAATCGATGTCCATGTCCGAAATTCATATTGTTCCGTTTTCATGACATGAGTAATTCTGCTGCAGAAAGAGATCACAATACTGTGTCAGAGGCTCACTGCGGTTCCCAGGCCTGATTCCTCTCCTCCCCAGGGACAGAGGCAGACCTCGGATTCCACCTTCCTCTCAGGTGTGGCTGCTATGAGGTAAGGGGGAAGTCAGTGTCCGTTAGGCATGTGCATTGTTTTAACGTCTCAATGGTGGAGACCCCAAGAAAAGAGATCCTACTTCCAGACAGGGGAACAGAAAACTCCCGTGCTCCTCAGGTTCCTCCCCACCTCTGACATCCAGATGTTGAAGTCGGTGTGCTCCTTCAAAACAAGGCCGCGAGGTCATGTCTCACAGAGTGTGGACGAGTTACCAGGAGAAACCAGTCCCCAGAAAAGGACATCAAGCTTGGTAAGGCAGAGGAGCAGGGAATAGGAGGAAGACCCCTGAAGAGATGGGTTGACACCATGGCTGCAACAATGGGCTGAAACATAGGAACAATTGTGAGGATGGTGCGGTGCTGGGTGGTATGTCACTGCTGTATGCAGCATCACTGTGGGTCAGAAGCGACTCAGCAGTACCTGAAAATAACAACAATAGGTTTTAAGATCCTCTGAGCACCTTGT